GGAACGCTGTTACCTTCCCACCGAGGTGGTCCCTATTGATCTACTTGCATTTGCATGCTTTCGAACCGCTAGGTTGGCGGGAGCTGGGGCAAGCGACGGGAGCTCACTCCGTCGCGTGGATTCGATCTTACAACTGCTTGGTCTTCTGACCCTGCAGCACACAAAGGCTTCTGCGGTTTAGCCCGCAGCGCCACCACGTCCCTCTAGAATAACTATACACATCTTAATGGATAGATGGTATGAAATAAATAGAGAAGAGAGAAGTTCTTAGTATAAGGTAGTTCCCCACATTCCTAGGAGAAGTAGAGAGCCAGTCCTCTTTCCCAGGTATATTCAGCTCACTCTTGCTCCCTGTTTCTCACTCACACATGCACTTTGCTGGGCCTCTACTCAACCTTTCAGGGGGTATGCCACCACTGACGTTTGACCTAATTTTAATTTCCATTAGGAAGAGAAATCCCTTGGAACTCAAATATATTTTGCAATATTTTATTTATTTACAAATATACAAGTAGAGTATAAGAAGGTGAAACTATATCAGAGCTTAGAAAATTGAGGAGTTTTGTTTGTTTGTTTACTACAGTTTACTTTACTTTATTTGGGCTTATACCCCGCCCCTCTAGACAAAGTCTACTCGGGGCGGCTTACAGGAGTAATAATAATAGTAATAGTTCTCAGAGGGTCGAGAAATACTTACTCGTCCTCCGATCCTGCATTTCGGCACTCCCCTCTGGTGGCGCTGCGGGCTAAACCGCAGAAGCCTGTGCTGCAGGGTTAGAAGACCAAGCAGTCGTAAGATCGAATCCACACGATGGAGTGAGCTCCCGTCACTTGTCCCAGCTCCCGCCAACCTAGCGGTTCGAAAGCATGCAAATGCGAGTAGATCAATAGGGACCACCTCGGTGGGAAGGTAACAGCATTCCGTGTCTAAGTCGCACTGGCCATGTGACCACGGAAGATTGTCTTCAGACAAATGCTGGCTCTACGGCTTGGAAACGGGGATGAGCACTGCCCCCTAGAGTCGAACACGACAGGACAAAATTGTCAAGGGGAACCTTTACCTTTTAATAGTTCTCAGAATCCCCCACCCAGCATGCTCAGTCACGGGGCAGGCTGCAAGAGTTTCTGAGAATTGTGGTCCTATAATGTCATTTCTCTAAGCTCTGTATCCCCTGCTAAGCTGCCTTTGGTAGGAAGATAACATGTTCACAGCCTTTTTACTCTGCTGTGGTTTAATCAGTTATATGAATTTTTCTTGTCTCTCAGGCACCTGAACAAGATCTGGTTGAGATTAACTGCAAGGACATCACTTGTATCCAGGTACACTCCATGTTTTCCTCTTTCTCATTTCCAGGATTCAGTGTTATCCCCCACCCCCCAATTTATCCTTTGACTTAGTCTTCGCTTGCACTAGAGTAGAGCTTGGAAATTTTGCTCTTTTTTTGAATGCCAAAACCTGCCACTCAGCACGACCATGGTCATCCATCATGTAGATTCTACTTGGAATTCTCCAGAATGCTCTTAAAAAGCAAACCAAAAAGAAAATAGAAGACATTGGTTACACCAATAAAGAGTGCTATTATTCTCATTCTTTATGATACTTCTGAAATGCAATTTCATTCTGCCCTTTTTATCAAAAGAAATCTAAGTGCCAGAGTCTCGAAAAGCTCCTTTTTTGGAGTGCATTCATTTGTTCGTTCGTTTATTTATTTATTTTTAAAAATTACCTAGCCTTTCTCCTAAAAAAGACCTCAGGCAGCTTACAGAATTAAAAAATAAACACTATGAAAGCTAAAACAAATTATAACAATATTTTAAAAAGAATTTTGTTGCCATTGTTGTTTAGTTGTTAAGTCGTGTCCGACTCTTCGTGATCCCATGGACCAGAGCATGCCAGGCCCTCCAGTCTTCCACTGCCTCCAGGAGTTCGGCCAAATTCATGTTGGTAGCTTCGATGACACTGTCCAACCATCTTGTCCTCTGTCGTCCCCTTCTCCTCTTGCCCTCACACTTTCCCAATATCAGGGGCTTTTCCAGGGAATCTGCTCTTCTCATGAGATGGCCAAAGGATTGGAGCTTCATGATATGTCCTTCCAGTGAACACTCAGGTTTAATTTCCTTCAGAACAGATAGGTTTGTTCTCCTTGCAGTCCAGGGGCTCTCAAGATCCTCCTCCAGCACCACAGTTCAAAAGCATCAACTCTTTGGCGGTCAGCTTTCTTTATAGTCCGGCTGTCACTCCCATACATCGCTACTGGAAAAGCCATAGCTTTGACTATGTGGACTTTGTCAGCAAGGTGATGTTTCTGCTTTTTAAGATGCTGCCTAGGTTTGTCATGGCTTTCCTCCCAAGAAGCAGGCATCTTTTAATTTCGTGGCTGCTGTCCCCATCTGCAGTGATCATGGAGCCCAGGAAAGTAAAATCTGTCACTGCCTCCATATCTTCCCCTTCTATTTGACAGGAGGTGATGGGACCAGTGGCCGTGATCTTAGCTTTTTTTTATGTTGAGCTTCAGACCATTTTTTGCACTTTCCTCTTTCATCCTCATTAAGAGGTTCTTTAATCCTCATCACTTTCTCCTATCAGAGTGGTATCATCTGCATATCTAAGATTGCTTGATATTTCTTCCAGCAATCTTAATTCCAGTGTGGGATTCCAGTCCAGCCTTTTGCATGAGGTATTCTGCATATAAATTAAATAAGCAGGGAAACAATATACAGCCTTGTTGTACTCCTTTCCCAATTTTGAACCAATCAGTTGTTCCATGTCCAGTTCTAACTGTTGCTTCCTGTCCCACAGATAGATTTCTCAGGAGATAGATAAGGAGGCCAGGCACTCCCATTTCTTTCTCCCATTTCTTTAAGAACTGCAATAAAAGAGCAATGAAGGACAAAAAAAGTACTGGCAACTAGTTTGCTGTCTCTTTTTTCTTTTCTTTTGTACTTCAAATCCTGAAGATATTCCCTAGGCAGAATTCTGAGCTTCTCAGTCCATAAACGCACATACAGAAATCTACATTTCACTCATTTTGAGAAAGGCTCCAAGGATGCATGGCCTTCTCCAGCCTGCGCTTCCTTTTATTAATGTACAAAAAAGAAAACTGCCACAGTGCTTTCTGGAAGTCATAGTCTTGCTACTGATTAGGTTCTATAGAGAGCACCTCCCAAAGAACTAGAACTTAATCCATGGCAGTGTACTCAACTGCTAGCAACCTACAGCATCAGTTGTGGCCAACTTATAGAGACACTAGAAAGCTTAGTTAGAATTACAGAATTTCCACACTCTGCAAGATCCCCAGATTCTGCTTTCTCCCCTAACAGGATGAATGGGATGTCGAAGAGTTTGTCTCAAAAACATGCATGGGGATATTCCTTCATCACCAAGCCTTCAAGATATTACTGGCCTTCTTCATCATTCTCAATGCAGTCATTATTGCTGTGCGAACATCACCATCATTAGAGGAGGTTGGTTGACTTAGCCAGTCAAGGATGAAACCATATGGTGTTAAAGGTCATGACCTTGAGTGGCATACCATTTCTTTTCTGTTATATTCATAGCTGTAGTTTGGGAGAATTGCTCAGTAGTAAATCAGTTGTTTTGTATACAGAAGATTCCCATTTCAGTCTCCAGTGTCTCCAGAGAGCGACAGGAGTGAATGATTCCTTCTTGAAACCCCACACAGACATTGCTGCCAGTCATTGTAACTAGGACTGAGCCAAATGGACAAATGGTTTGACCCATTATAAAGACAGCTTCCATAGAGGCCTCGTCTCACTAACCATCCCTCTAGGCTCCCTTTTCACAGCAGGTCATTGATGTCACCAGACGGCAAACTGGCTTGCCTACTCATGTGTTTATTACCTGGTGGAGTATGTGGAGCGAATTACGTTGACTGGGTGCTATGTATTTACAAGGACCACACCTTGTGTACTTTTTAATTTAACTGTGCTGGTCATCCTTGTTTTATGAAGACCACCCCAACTTAAAACAAGGATGAGCAGCAATGAGTTAGGCAGTAATGAGAGATTCAGAGAACTGTAGTCTGACAGTATCTGAAGACACACCCATTCCCTGGCTAAACACTGAAGACCGAGACCGGCCATACTACTTTCAGCTGCCGTTCTTGAAATCTCACTTGTCTTTTGCATCTGTTGTTTCCACTGGCAACCATATGTTGCTTGGGAGATAAAAATATATCTAATCCAGAGAACAACTGGTGGAGAGTGTCTTTAGTTATGATGATTTGGGTAATTGCTCCTTCATGTATGTAAGCAGCTGAGAGAATCAGTGGCCAAAGTAATAGGAAGGGAAGACCAAAGGCTTTATGGGCCATACTGCTGGAGAATGGGCATGATAGTAGATAGCAGAGGAATGGGCAGGAGCATGGCTCAGGGGCAGGAGCGCATGCTTTATAACCAGATAGGCTCTGTCCACTCTTGTAAAATGGACAACAGGAACAGGTTGGTCTGGGATCAAATTTGGACTAAGAATGTTCTTTCTATTGGTCTTCTCAAAACTGAAAGGGATTGTAGTTGACCTCCAGTCACTTCAATATCGTTCCTTAAAAAAAAATCATATATCCACTAAAGGAAGCTGCTACCTCTTACTTTAGAGAGAAATCAGTACTTATGGAGGCCTACAGGAATGGCAGTTCTTTCTATGGGCCTGGGGTGGTTGTGAGCAGGTCCAGAGGTCTGAATGATGGCTGGGTTCCTGCAGCCCATGGGCCATATTTTGCCATTCTTGTTGTAGAGGTAAACCCATGGAGGCCAGAGCCACTTCCTACCCCCCCAGTTATCTGAAGCCTTCACGTTGGCCAGCCCTTCAACAATCCCAGTTGGAGAACAGCTTGGTGTTGAAGCACTTCTGCTGTTTGTGACTGAGCAGCAGCAGCAGCTTTAGTCAGAATCACTGATGGGGAAGCTTTAACATCTGCCACCCCCTGCAGCAATCCCTGTATGGGTCTACGTGTACGTATATGGGTGTACGTGAAGGGTGTGTGCCCTGCCTGCTTTGATCCAGGGTATCTAATGTTGTTCCTCTCTTCTGTTTTTGTTGTAGAAATACTATGGATTCTTCTCTGCTGTAGATACAATTGTTCTGGCTTTTCTCATCTGTGAAGTTCTCCTAAACTGGTGTTATGGATTCTCATTGTACTGGAAGGTGGGAAGTGTGTACCTGCTCTGATGCATATGTAAGCTGTTATTGTGGGTGCTTCATTAGTTTCTCCAGAGAAAAATATATGTCTTTTGTGTTGCACCAGTTCTAGCTCTCTTAAGTAGTGCCAGAGCAGCAGAACATACAAAAGCATTGAGGTAACCTCAGGGAGAAGTGAATTCAAGAAAGCTCCTTGTCTCCAAACAATTGTTTTGCATTTCTCATAGGGGACAGTGGCCACCACCTCCTCTAGTTCTCCAGAAAGGGAGTGAAGTTCCCTTATTTCATGGCTATGCGGGGACTTCTGTGGTCTCAGAGGCAGAGCATGCTGATGAAGGGTGTGAACAATGCACCATGCATCAACAAATTCCTCTTCGGCAACAGTCTGTGACCCAACCTCGGCCGGATTGAGAAACGGCAGCCTCCTCTGGCACCTGTCAGTGTGCAGTGAGCGAGAAACTGTCACCTGTTTAAATTACGTCACAGGTCTGATGTGGTGAAGATGGTTCCCAAGAGCTTGATACGTCCCATTCTCTACCAGATTCCAGGCTCCCTCATACAGGGAAGACACAACCCACCCACAGACCTACAAAGCACCCAGTAGCAAGACAAGGCAAAGTTCAGGAGCCTCAGTAACCCACCTGCTAGATCACTGATACCCAACCTTGGGTCCCCAGATGTTGGTTGGACTTAAACTCTTAGAACCCTTCAAAGCTAGCTGTGCTGGCATTTGGGGGGAGTTGTAATCCAAGTACATCTGGGGAGTCAAGGTTGGGAACTATTGCGCAAGATCAATGAGTAGGGAAGACCATTGGGACGGTTGATCTGATGGCTATTTTTTGGATATTAGATACTCTCTTCCTCCCCGTATCCCAAATCTCTCAAAGGCTGCCCTGGTCAAAAGGGAGTCCTAGGGATTAATGGAACCTGAAGGGCTGCGTGATAGTAAGCTTTCAATTCAATTCACTTCAATTAAATATTATCCTCATAGGATGGCGATATCATCCTACCTGAGTGGCGTAAAGTTTTGCAAGAGGTTTTCAGCCGCTATCTTTGATACTACTTTTCATTATTTTGAATTGTTTATTTAGTTTAGATTGCATATGTAGTACATTGTCTGTACATTGCTTAGAGTTTATCATAGTAAGTGGCGTCTAAGTGTTGCAGATAAATACATTTTGCAGTCAGTTTCTTCATTTAAATGCTATTGTATAATTATGCTAATAATAGAAAATAATAGAATAGAATAGAATAGAATAGAATAGAATAGAATAGAATAGAATAGAATAGAATAATATACAGTATATATAGCAAAAAGAAGCATTTGCTATTCTATGTGTCTATATGCTACTTCTATACATATCTAATCATCATCATCTGCCATCAAGTTAATCCTAACTTATGGCAACACTTTTCAGGGTGTTCTAGGTAGAGAGTATTTAAGAGTGGTTTGCCCTTCCCTTCTTCTTGGTTCATCCTCGGATTGTGCAGCTTGCCCAGGGACACACAGGCTGGCTTTTCTCCCAGGAAGCCCAGTGGGGAATTGAATTCCCAACCTCTGGCTCCTCAGCTGGATACTTAAATCACTGAACTATCCAGCCAGCTTGTTCACAAATTAAAAGATCAACTAAACAGGCACACATACTCTGCTGAAACATTATTTAATGTTAATATTACAGTTTATAGAACAGATCTTGAGAATGTACAGCTGCTATAGTTCACATCCCCCAGTGTCAATACTGTTGAGAATTCTGGGAGTTTTGTTTCAAAAAAATAACATTTTCAGAACGCAGTTCCTTTCCACTGCTCAGGACATCACTGCATACATTAAAACACGAGCTCATGTTTCTTTACACTCATTTTATATATATACAGGATGGATGGAATATCATCAACTTCTTAATTGTGGTATTTCTCTTCATTGGCTTGCTCATTCCTGCACTAGATGACAAGACGATGTTACACACATTCAGGTAAGAATGGAAATCTGTTCATATTTCTAAAATATATAAGCCTCTTCAAGAGGGACCTGTCAGTCTGCTTTTACTGAGTTGAGCGCTGGCCTTAAATGGGAAGACACCGTAGCATAGTTGCAGTGGGCCTGTCTTACATATAGAATGGCCCAGGTTCTTCACCTGGACTGTCCAGTTCTAGAGGTTCAGGCAAGTCTCTGGAGATGTGTGAAGATCTTTGCCTGAAACTTTCAAATACTCATGGAGGTTATTATTGGTCCAGATCAAGGCAGGCAACTTCTTTGAATTGGGAGCTCTATCATCCCTCTTCCTGGAACACTGGGAGAGACCACTTTTCCTTTCCCTAGGAGTGGAGATGTACTTTGCATTATAATGGGGACAACTTGCAACCAGTATCGGCCAAAATCCTCCTAATTACGCCTCCTGGCAAGACACAGTTGGCATAAATCTCGTTGGCAAGCAGCAGTTAAGACTCAAGCACCCAACATCTAATGCCTATACCAACGTTTTAAAACTTGTGGCAATTTGCCAAGGAGATGTATGCCAATTGCATCAAATGAGGATAAAAATTTGGCAGGCTTTTGTCCATTATTGTCGGGGGGGGGGAATCCATTCTCTTAATTCCAGCGGCTGCAAGAATGACTAAACTCAGAGGGAACAAAGGCATTTGAGCAGCTGGAAGGTTTTACTGCCACATTCTTAAATTGAACTCTTTATGTGTGTGTGTGTGTGTTCCACATTTGAGAGTGAAAGAGGGACCTGCATTTAAGGGCAGAGGTCATGATTTCCATACAGAAAGTCCCCACTTCAGTTTCTGACCCTCCCAAGGGACCCTGGGGAACTGTATTACCTGAAACTCTGAGAGCCACTATCAGCCAGTCTTAATAACACTGAGCATGATGTAGCCTGATTTGGTATAAGGCAGCTTTCCTGCTGCAAGAACAACATAAACCAGTTTCAAGCACAGGGAATATCTCCGTTCCTTCTGTATGCTACTGTTACAGTGGTGCCTCGCTAGACGATGATAATCCGTTCCACTGAAATCACTGTTTAGCGAAATCATTGTCTAGCAAAAAGCATTTCCCCATTGGAATGCATCGAAACCTGTTTAATGCATTCCAATGGGAAAGAATCATCGTTATCTAGCGAAGATCGGCCATAGGAAAGCCGCTTTGCGAACCGCCAATCAGCTGTTGAAATCGCTGTCTTGCAAAGCTTAGGTCCCGAAAACACCTGTTTTGTGAGTGCGGAGGAAGCTGTCAAAATTGTCATCGACCGAAAATCAGTTTGCAAAGCAGGGACCAAACATTGTCCAGCGAAATTTCCTCATAGGAATCACTGTTTCACGAATCGCTATAGTGATCGCAAAAAAATCAATGTCTAGCGGAAAAACTGTCATGCGAGGTAACTGTCTAGCGAGGCACCTCTGTACTTTGCAATTACTATTTTTTTCCCACTACAACATCCAACCTACCCACCATGGTCAGCAGTCAAGCTGTCTGGAGGACTGTAGGAGATGAAGTCTAATAAAGTAACTTTCACCTCTTTCCTTTCCTTTTGCAAGCAGACAAGGACCTTTCTCTTCAGACAGGCTTTCCCTTAGTGATTGGCTGTCTGCGATGGGTTTTTTAATGCAGCATTGTGCCTTGTTGCTTTGCACCTGTTTTGGTGTTGATTCTGTTTACAGTGTTTTTTTGTGTGGTATGTGTTTGGTTCTTGTTTAATATCTGTATATGTGTGGGGTTTTAGCTTTGAAATTTGGTCTTATATTGGTGTAAGCCACCTTGAGTCCTTTTTAAAAAATATTTAAAATAAAATACGTAAACAAATGATAAAACTATCCTCGGACATTGTCCATCCCGTCCGTAGCAGATTAAAAGTTTAAAGGTTGGTAGCTGGCAGCTTTACATACAAGAATGCTATTCTCCCCATTCTTCCAGAGTCATGAGGCTGATGCAGGTGTGTACGTTGGTGGGTGGCCTGGCAAGGATGATTCAGGTGATCTTGCAATCTGCTCCTGACATGGCGAACATCATGATCCTGCTCTTTACCATCATGCTGGTGAGATGTCTTCATCAGGTCCTTTCCCCTGCCTGCCCCCCCCCAAAAAAGTCCAAAAACCTGCTGCTCAAGAGTGAACTGGGATTTTATCTGTTTCCATTTCCTTCTCCAGCTTGAATTCTTCCCTTCATGCTCTCTTTCCTTCTAGCTTGCTAGCTAGGGGAGGAAACCTAGAAATTTCTTTGCAGCACAGCAGAGCACTTAAGACTTGCCTGTGTTGAATCAGCAAATTTTGCCAGAATTTTGAGAACCTGAAGCCAGAGTTTACAAACCATGCTTATCACTTGATCACTTGCACATGCATGCAAAGAAGCCCCAGAATTTGGGAAGTAACATGTGCGTGTAATGCATATCAAAATTATACATTAAAAACTGGGAGTGAAGTCCTTTCATTAGTATGAATGGCATCTCTTGACTTTTAAAACCCAATTTTTAAACAGCATTTAAAGGCATTCTCACAGCCATTTTCAAGTCTAATATCGTTATTGTATCAACCAAGCACACGTAGAATAAGGAAGGCATTAACGGGGCTGTTGCCTGAGATCGATAAAAAGAAAGTAAAGGAATGCCTAGTGGTTTAAGTGAATTCAAGGCTGCAGGGCCAGCTGAGCAGCATCCAAAGGTAACTAAAGGAGACTGCAGACTTGTAGAGGGGTATGGGTTTGTGTTTTTTTTAGTTATAGTCTGTGTGTTTTTATTTTAACTTTGTGGTTTGTTGTGGGGTGGTATACAAATTTAATCAATCAATCAATCAATCAATCAATCAATCAATCAATCAATCAATCAATCAATCAATGGAACTTCAGAGGCGTTATTTGTAGAATGCTTGAAGAACAAGTGAAGTCTTTGAAGACTGAAATCTCATGCCCATCTTCAAAAAAGTGGGAAAATAATATCTGGACAATAACCAACCAGTGTGTTTGACAATGATACCAGGAATAGTTCAAGATGAGACACTCACAGTCAGTCTGTGAGCGTTTGAAAAAAAAAATACTGTGATTTGGAAGATCCAACATAGGTTTCTCAAAAATAAGCCATGCCTAACTGCTTTTATTTCTCTCTTATTGTTATGGATATAGTGTATCTTGGTTTCAGCATGGTCCCCCATGATATTCTTGTGGCCAAGCTGGTAAAATGTTGACTATGATATCATTGCTAGGTGGATTTGTAGGTGGTTCACAGACTCTAACAATATTATTCCTCATCATTTTGGAGAGAATGAAAGAAATGACAGGCTGCAGAGTTCTATCATGTGGTGAGTGTTGCTTTTGTAAATTGCTAGAGGGAAGGAGTAGAGGTAATGCTAATCAAATTTGTGAGAGTTATCAAACTGGTACAGGTAACTAGTACTGCAAAAGAGAGAATAAGGATTCGACACGACTTTAACAGATTGGAGAAGTGGACTAAAACAAACAGATTCAGGGATTCTAAGGGTCCCTTCTAGTTCTACAATTCTATGATTCACTGGCTAGAATCCTGTTGCTTTGCATAGTCAAAGTAGGTACACTGAATCACTGAGGACTGGGTGAGTGAACTCCTCATAAGTTCAGTTGATTCAGTGCTTACTAGACTAAGCAACAGGATTTCTACTTCTGAGTCAGTCCTGAGGGTTTTCTTTTGATTTTTAAATTGGTAAAAGACAACAAAAGAGAATGACTTGCTGTTGAGGTTATAAGATCCTGGAACTTACATTCCAATTCCAAAAACATGTTGCCCCCATCATGTACATTTCCCCTCTCTCTGACATCAAGGAAACATTCAGCTTGATAGAAAATAACAGAAATTTCTGTGGTTGTTGGAAGGGAGACAGAGGGAGACTCGTTAAGCGAGGCACCACTGTAACAGAAATTTCTGTGGTGGCTGGAAGGGAGACAGAGGGAAACTCAACACTGGATCTCCCTCTTTGAGGTCAAAGCATCACTAAGCCCAAAGTGTGAGAGCCCCCATCCTTCCTCGGGACCCTAGGGTGTCTTCCCAGGACCATAGCGTTGTAGCTTAAATATACAGAAACCAAGTCCTGAATGATCAAATGAGAAACACCATGCTGCAGTATGTGTTTCACTAGGCACTTACTCAGCAACCTAGGTTGGGCTCCCTTCTGTTGTCATTTTGTTTTCAGGCAAAGACTGCAGGTTTTCGGAAGTTATTGTGGGTTGCTGAAAAAGCCAGGGGCTGAATTTTAAAAAAAAGATTTATTTTGAAAAGCTTTTAATGTTGTCTGTCTTAATCAGAGCTTGGAAAACATGGATAGTAATAGCTGAGAGATTCTAGAACCTGGCTATTAATTTGTTTGTAGTTGTGGTTGTACTTGTCGACCAAAATCCTGTTGGGGTAGGTAAGCCTGCAGAAAGTTGATGACATCACCAACAGAGGGAGACTTTCAGTCATGAAAGACTTCCTCCTCGTGTCTTGTCAGTCTCACTGTTTCCACTCTTGATGGCGGGACTTATTCACAAGTCAGGAAAGTCACAAGACATCACCAAAAATCTCCTCTGTTGCCATAGCTACATCTTCCACAGGTATAGCTACAGCAAATAAGATGGCACTTGTTTTATTCATTTTAGTTGCCTTGAGTTCCTTTTAGATGAAAGATCAGGTATAAATCAAGTAAATACATGCATAGGCATGTCTAACACCAGCAGTACAGTAGATGTTGCTAGGCACCTACCAAAGGCAATGTTCTTACTAAGGAGGAACATGTAGAGTTCCATTGGCATTGCACAATGGCAGCCAGTGTTTATGCCTGCGTCCTTCCAGGTTTTAGATTAAACCCCACCTCCTGCGCACAGATGGGTGAGGCTCCCACTTCAGGCAGCACGGATGAAAATTAGAGGGAATGTTAAAGCCCATACCAAAATATAGCCGACATTGCCACCCAGTGGAAATATCTAACACTCTTCATTCTCATTTGCCATATACATAACTTGTTTTTACTGTCTATACACTTCCCACTTCTAAGTAGATCTTCTTTTGTGGTTCTATATTCAGTCTCAAAGGCTCACTTGTAAGTAAGAGATCCTAACATTCAATCTCTTGGCCCCTCCCATTGAAATAATCAGAGTCACAGGTACATATTTTCAATGTGTATTTCCTGCTGTTTTGGACTGCACCGCTCAGACTGTGGGCTGCCAGTGTTCAGATAATGGGAATCGAGACCTGGCATACAACTAGTCACTGCATAGGTGGCTGGACAAATATTCTGACCAGTGCTATATAGACGTTTCCTTACCTTTTGTGAGAATCATTTTTCTCTTTCTAACAATCAATGGGACTGTAGACGTTGAAGGGGATTTGAGGCTGGTTCCTGCAGACCTCACTTCTTTATCCCATTTTTATTTTGTTCTCTTACAGATCTTCTCTGTATTTGGAGTGACCCTCTTTGGAAGTCTTGTCCCAAACCATTTTGGGAATCTAGGCACAGCTCTGTACTCCCTCTTCATCTGCATAACCCAAGATGGGTGGGTTAGCATATACCATGACTTTGAGTGAGTAAATATTTTTTCCCATAACTAGAGTAAAACCTGAAAAAGTTACTTTTTAACCTGCAAGTCCCAGAATCTCTCACGTTGTTTTCTCGAAACTGTAGTCAAAGCTTGAACAAATTACTTTGCTGCAATATAAATACTAGAATCCCTCATTCAGCATTCTCATGATGTTAATTACAATAAACCAGAATCAAGGACACTGTATTTCCATACAAGAATAAGGTCAAGACCCAAATAAATAAATAAAGTTTTGAAATGAAACCCGGTGAGGCACATTTTAGGCTCATGATGTCTCCCTTGTTTTAGTAGAACTCCAAGGGTCAAACCAAACCCAAGAGAACAGTATTGGTGCAGATAGTGGGAGCAAAATAGACACAGCATGCACAACTAAGGAACAAGAGTGCTTCTAAGCCCATGCTGTGCCCAGAGAACATATTTCAGTACCAGAAGTAAGTTTGTAGTCCTTTCTCATAAGAATCCAGACAACAGCTTTCACTCCTTCGTTTCGGCAAAAAAAAAACTTTTTTGTTATTGAGTCAGAAAAACTCTAGTGTTCTAATGGCAATCTCTCTGAACAACTGCTGGTAGATCTTGAATGACCACTTAGTGACCTCTTTTCTAAAGAATGTGTGTGCAGTTGACACCAGAAGCCAAGCGAAAGTGATGAAGAGCAGACTCAGAGCCATCCAGCAGTGGTTGCAAAGGATTGCCATGATGATCAGGTTCTTTCTTACTCAGAGTGTGAAAATAAGTGCAACTAAAGGGCAGTAATAACATGTTCAATTTAATGGTGTTGGTGGTAACCACACAGAATGCAGTTTATTCTTTAATGGTACTCACTTGGTTTCCATTACGTTTTTTTGTCATAATGCTTTTGAGGCTTGCATTGGCTGAAGTCACCTTGCACAACTTATTGTCGCATAAACTGGATGAAAGAAAATAGGAAAAACCTTCAGATAATCAAACATTTATGAAGCCTACAGCTTCTGGTGCCTCAGATATGTGGGCATCAATTGCTTTGCCTGTTGAACAAGGCACATATTCCGGGTCTGAATCACAGAACTGAATGATGTGCCAGAAGTCTACTTCAGAGCAGAAACGGACACGTAAATCTCAGGCAAATCCTGATAATTAGAATTAACACATACTGACTGGGATCATATTGGCATAATATACCATGTAAGTCAGATGACATCATCATCATCTGGCAACTGGGATATTTAATTTAAATTTATTAAAAAGTTTCCCATTGTTGAGCTTTGTGTGATTACACTGCAAAAAGTGGGGCAATTCATATAGACAGATTTTTATACATAGGCTTAGAATTATAAGCAGGTTCCCCAAGAACCCCCCATCTAAGTAGACCAGCAAAAAATAATCAGCAAAACAATAGTAAGAAGAAGAAACCACTTGTGTGCACACAAGTATGTGCTGAAAAATTTGACTAGAAAACATGGGGTTAGTTAGTGGTGAAAACAGGAACCATTTATCCTGTTAAAATGGTAGAAAATAGTTTTTCTCTCTCTCCAATACACGGCTGGGGAGAGAGCTCAATATAACATCTATCTCACAAGATGGAGGACAAGCAACAAGAACCGATGGAAAACAAAATGTCCCAGAGTGAAGAAGATTAAGTGGAAGTGAAGAAATGGTGGGAGGGAAATAGAGCTATTGACTGATTGCTTAGGAACAAGTGAACAAACAAGTTAATTTTCCTAGAGAGGTTTTATCTTCTAAAGGGGATCATATGACCAACTGTGTTGGCAATTAGTCCAAGCACAGCATGCAGGGTTGCTACATATTTCAACACCTATCTCCCCAACCCCCAGTTTTTCAGGTGTGGAGGCTCCCAAGGACTCTCTTTTGTCTGGTGAAACCCTTTGGGAGCCTCTTCATGGAGACACAAAGCTTTCAACAGTTCAAAATTGTTGCTGGCCGTCCTGATCCTTTCCCAGTGATCCAGTGGTGGTTTTTTGTTCCATCTCAAGGCTTCAGAGGCTTCCACAAATGGAAAGCCCTGGGGAGCATCAGAACCTGAAAGGGGTGGTAGAATAGGAAGTTTTAAATTTGTCTAAATGCCCCAGTGGCCAGATGATGACGTCATCTGACTTACACAGTGTGTAAGTTATATCAGGATTTGCTTGAGATTTACCGTACAAAATTTGTTTCTACCTTATAGATCAGTGGTCCCCAAACTTGGGCCTCCAGATATTCTTGGACTTCAACTCCCAGAAATCCTGGCCAGCAGAGGTGGTGGTGAAGGCTTCTGGGAGTTGTAGGCCAAGAGCATCTGGAGACCCAAGACTGGGGACCACTGACTTTCAGCTCATCATACGGTTCTGTGATTCAATTCTGGAATACGTGAAATAGTCGCTCCTGAATATGTGCCTAATTCAACAGAAAAAGCAAATGAGGCCCACATATGGGAGACATTAGAGGCTGTGGGCTTCATAGTAATTTAAGCTTCTGTAAGGTTCTTCCTCATTAGTAAACTGTAATTATGCATCATGTGTGGAAAAACAAATAGACTAGATGTGTGTGCACATGCATGCATATGTGTGGGTGTATATATTATTTGCTGGATAGCTCAATGCGTTAGTTACCTGGCTGCAGAACCAGAGGCTGTGAGTTCAATTCCCCACTGGGCCTCCTGTAAGAAGAACCACCTTGTGTGGCCTTTGGCAAGCTGCACAGTCCCAGGATGCCCCCAGAAGAAGAGAATGGTAAACCAGTTTCTAAGTGCTCTTTATCTAGAAAACTCTGGAAAAGGTGGGCTTTTTATAATTTTATAAAATTGTTTTTTAATCTTGTATTTAATCTTGATGTATATATGTTTAATTGTTTTCTTAAGTGCCTCCAGTGTTGGAGTGCACACCACCTCCCCAGGTCATGCGTTCCATTGTTATACTGTCCTAACAATTAGGAAGTTTTTCCTAATGTTCAACTAAAATCTGGCTCCCTATAGCTTGAGCTAATGATTACATTTCCTGCACATGTCCTGGGATGATCAAGAACAGATCCTGTCCCTCCTCTGTATGATTACCTTTCAGCTATTTGAGAACTGCTATCATATCCCCCTCAGTCTTTTTTCAAGGCTAAACATGCCAAGCTATTTATGTACAGACACCAGATGAT